GGGCTATTCAGAGAGGGGGCTTGCTTCGCACTCTGGGTCTGATTCACCAGGAACGTGCCTTAAACTCGATTCCCACCTTTCTGGCTGCCTTTCCTTACCTCCTCTAAATGAGCCTTTGGCTCCTAACAATCTCCTCCCGGTAGGTGCAAAAGCAGTTTTTTCAGTTCATTAGGATAATGAATAGCTTCTATTTTTTGATTGCTAACTATGCAGAGTAGTTGGCTTTTCATATCACATGATCACATTTCATCCGTATGACAAGCCCTGTGAGTTATTATCCCCATTTTACAGATGAGGAAAGTAGGGCTCGTGGAATTAAACCCTTCAACACCAACTTGTGCTGTTTCATAGTAATTGTGCCTCTGACCATCTCTGCCAAGGTTTCTCAGAAGCGCCCTTTACTTTATTTCTGTTGTTTTTATTTCACTGCAACTTTATCATGCTATCTTAGCTCATGAATTCCTTGACCATCTCTGGGAGATACAGAGTTTATGGAAATATTGAGGGAACAAATGTGAATTTTCTGGGCGGGCACAGTAACTCACGCCTGTAATCCGAACTCTTTGGGAGGCCGAAGCAGGCAGATCACTTGAGGTCAGGAGTTCAAGACCAGCCTGGCCAACATGGCAAAACTCCGTCTCTACTAAAAATACAAAATTAGCCGGGCGTCGTGGCACATGCCTGTAATCCCAGCTACTAGGGAGGCTGAAGCAGGAGAATAGCTTGAACCCGGGGGGTGGAGGTTGTAGTGGGCGGAGTTCGGGCCACTGCACTCCAGCCTGGACAACAGAGCTAAACTGTCTGTTCTTTTTTCTTTTTTTTTTTTTGAGACAGAGTTTCGCTCTTGTTGCCTAGGCTGGAGTGTAATGGCACGATTTCAGCTCACTGCAACCGCTGCCACCCGGGTTCAAGCGATTCTCCTCCCTCATGCTCGGCTAATTTTCATATTTTTTGGTAAAGATGGGGCTTCACCATGTTGGCTAGGCTGGTTTCAAACTCCTAACTTCAAGTGATCCTCCCATCTTGGCCTCCGGAAGTGCTAGGATCACAGACTCCCGCCACGATGCCCAGCTAAAGGCTGTCTCAAAAAAAAAAAAAAAGAAAGAAAGAGAGTGAATTTTCTACAGAATAGGATAACAGAGCTTGTTTCTGAAGTAGGAAAGGCAAAATTAAAGTGCAAATGAGTTTTGGTTACAAAATAGACAGAACTCAAGATACACTCAAACTCACACATACAAAAAGGCCCTTGTGGAACATATGTGTAGAGATATTAGTCTTAGTAGAGCTTTTCAACTTTTTCATTCATTCCCCAGATATATTTAGCACAGTATCTGAGGTGCTTAAGGAATATGTTTGTGAGCAAAACTGGCTCTCTGCCTCATGGAGAGTATATGCTAGAGTGGGATAGGGAAGAAAGACAGTGAACAGGCTGGGCGTGGTGGCTCATGCCTATAATCTCAATCCCAGCTCTTTGGGAGGCCAAGGTGGGTGGATCACTTGAAGTCAGGAGTTTGGGACCAGCCTGGCCAACATGGTGAAACCTCATCTCTACCAAAAAATATGAAAATTAGCCGAGCAGGGTAGCATACACCTGTAATCCTGGCTACTCAAGAGGCTGAGGCAGAATTGCTTGAACCTGGAAGGTGGAGGTTGCAGTGAGTAGAGATCATGCCACTGCACTCCAGCCTGGGCGACAGACTCCATCTCAGGGAAAAAAAAAAGTAATTCTCTTACACTTTAAATTAATTTTAAGCATTGGGATCCATATTTAAATTTGCTGCCCTCTGCTGAAACTTTTTGGAGAAAAATCATTCCTGGGGTAGACAGTTAAACATTTAACCTTTAAGTAAACAGATCTTTATGAGTCTAAAAATTACTGTGGAAGGAGAGGCAGAAACTGATCTTGCTTTTTAGTTGGCAGTTTCCAGATTCACCAAAAATATACTAAATTATTATTATCATTGTCATCATTTTGAGATGGAGTTGAGCTCTGTTGCCCAGGCTGGAATGCAATGGCGCAATATCGGCTCACCTGCAACCTCTGCATCCCAGGTTCAAGAGATTCTCCTGTCTCAGCCTCACAAGTAGCTGGGATTACAGGCATGTGCCACCATGCCCAGCTAACTTTTGTATTTGTAGTAGAGACAGGGTTTCACCATGTTGGTCAGGCTGGTCTCAAACTTCTGACCTCAGATGATCCACCTGGCAAAGCCTCCCAAAGTGCTGGGATTACAGGCATGAGCCACTGCGCCCGGCCTATGCTAAATTATTAATAAGGTGACAGAAGACATGGTTCAGTGATCAGCCTTTATTTATTTATTTATTTTTTGCTATGTAACTTTTTTTTTTTTTTTTGAGACAGGGTCTCACTCTGTCACCCAGGCTGGAGTGCAGTGGTGAAGCCTCGACTTCCTGGGTTCAAGCAATCCTCTTGCCTCAGCCTCCCAAGTAGGTGGGACTACACGTGTGTGCCACTACACCTGGCTATTTTTTTTTTTTTTTTTTTTTAGACGGAGTCTCGCTCTGTTGCCCAGGCTGGAGTGCAGTGGCTTGGTCTCGGCTCACTGCAACCTCCACCTCCCAGGTTCAAGTGTTTCTCCTCCCTCAGCCTCCTGAGTAGCTGGGATTACAGGCGTCCGCCACCACACCTGGCTAATTTTTTGTATTTTTAGTAGAGACAGAGTTTCACCATGTTGGCCAGGCTGGTCTGGAACTCCTGACCTCGTGATCCACCCTCCTCGGCCTCCCAAAGTGCTGGGATTACAGGCATGAACCACCACGCCCAGCCTTTTTTTTTTTGGGGTAGAGATGGAGTCCCACTATTTTTCCCAGGCTCGTCTTGAACTCCTGGGCTCAAGCAATCCTACCTTGGCCTCCCAAAGTGCTGGAATCACAGGCGTGAGCTATCCTGCCCAGTAATATATAACTTTGGATGGACATTTCCCCTCCTCAGGGTCCAGGTTTTGAATGTGCAATATGAGGAGATTGGACAGGATCCTCTGTAAGACCCTCCTAGCCCTAACATTCTGTGATGTGTGAATCAAGGTTTGTGGGGTTCATGTGAGCTCTACAAATCTGAGCAAAGGAGAAAACATGCTTCCTTCGTGAACATCTTGGCTGAAGAATCACCAGTACATCAGATAAATATTTACAGGTGAGGCTTTTGTTGGAATCTTCAATGCTTTAGGGAAATAAGTGTTGCATACCTACTGCAGCTTAGGGAAACTTGGGCTTTAAATTATCATATAACATGTTCACAAAACATTGATAAAGAGAAAATTCAGATAAAACTGAACCTTATTTTCTTTTCAGCCTAACTCCTTGTTTTCTTTACTGAAATACTAGTAATGCTAAAGTATTTATTTGTATTCAGTTACATGTTATTACTAATGATATAGGAATATCTTGTGCTTATGTAGCAATTTATAACAATGTTTTCTACTGCAATAGTACCTTGGTAGAAGTTTTTTTTGTTTGTTTGTTTTTGTTTTTTTTTTTACTTGCCATCTAGTAACACTAGAAGTTTTATAAATGAATTTTTACAAAGGTATTTATTATGGAGCTGTGGAAAATAAAGTCCTGAGACTTGAAATAATTTACCCCAAACCACAAGATGTAGGACTCAGATTAAATACCTACAGTGACAGTTGTCTATTTTATTCTAGGTTCTTCCTCAGCCTGTTATTGGCTCTAGTGAACAGGGAAAGGGAAGTCCTAGAAAAGTCATTTATTGAATTTGTAGTCCTAAGACAAAGTTACTACTAATGTAAGAAGAAGAAAAAAAAAAGAATTTATCCTACTTTTAAAACCTCCAAAGGACAGCTAGGACTCTGCAGTTGAACAACCTTCTTTGCAATAAGCATTTTTTTTTTTTTTTTTTTTGAGATGGGGTTTAGCTCTTGTAACCAGGCTGGAATGCAGTGGTACAGTCTTGGCTCACTGCAAGCTGTGCCTCCAGGGTTCAAGCTTCTCCTGCCTCAGCCTCCAGAGCTGAGATTACAGGTGCAGGTGCCTACCACCACACCCAGCTAATTTTTGGATTTTTGTTAGGGATGGTGGGGGAGGAGGTTCACCATTTTGGCCAGGCTGGTCTTGAATGCCTGATCTCAGGTGATCTTCCCACCTTGGCCTCTGAAAGTGATGAGATTACAGGTGTGAGCCACCGTGCCCTGCCTTTTTTTTTTTTTTTTTTTTTTGAGACAGAGTCCCACCATGTCAGAGGCTGGAGTGCAATGGCACTATCTTGGCTCGCTGCAACCTCCACCTCCCAGGTTCAAGCAGTTCTCTTGCCTCAGCCTCCAGAGCTGGGATTACAGGTGCCCACCACCATGCCTAGCTAATTTTTGTACTTTTAATAGAGACAGGGTTTTGCCATATTGGCCAGGCTGGTCTCAAACTCTTGACCTCAGGTGATCCCCCCTACCACATCGGCCTCCTAAAGAGCTGGGACAGGTGTGAACCACCGCACCCAGTCTACAATAAGCATTTTAAAAATGTATGCATTTCAGCCAGGCAAGGTGGCTCACTTATGTAATCTCAGCACTTTGGGAGGTCAAAGTGGGCAGATTGCTTAAGGCCAGGAGTTCGAGACCAGCCTGGAGCAACATGGCAAAACTCTGTCTTGATGAAAATTAAAAAAAAAAATTAACTGGACATGGTGGTGTGTGCCTGTAGTCCAGCTACTCGGAAGGCTTTAGTGGGAAGATCACTTGAGCCGGAGAGGTCAAGTTCTGCAGTAAGCCAAGATCCTGCAACTGCACTACAGCCTGGGGGGAAAACTGAGACCCTGTTCCATCCAAAAGAAATAAAATTATGCTTTTCAAGGCAGTTTGGTTTTTTTCTTTTTTTCTTATTTATTTATTTATTTATTTATTTTAATAAGATAGGGTTTCACCATGATGGCCAGGCTGGTCTTGCCTGACCTCAGGTGATCCACCCACCTTGGCCTCCCAAAGTGCTAGGATTACAGGTGTGAGCCACAGCGCCTGGCCTTTTTCTTTTAATTTTTTTAAAAAATTTCAAATTTGCGTGTCATCCTTGCGCAGGGGCCATGCTAATCTTCTCTGTGTCGTTCCAATTTTAGTATTTGTGCTGCTGAAGCGAGCACTTTTTCTCCTTTTTTGTGCCTTGTACATACAGAATAGCAGGACGTTATTTTCTAGGTAACCTGTTATTTTCTTTTATGGGAAAAACAATCCTTAGCTCTTTTAACTTTGACTTATTTCTCTTTTATCCCACAAATGTTTGCAGTCTTTACAACTTACCTACAAATTCTTTTGAAGTTCTCTTCCTCCCTGATCTGAGCTGTATACTTCCCCTTCAGCAGGGCTTTGTATGTGAAATGCTAACTCCATTCTGGGAGATTACCATAGAAGATGGGGTTTTATCTCTGAAATTTCACATTTTCTTTCCACTGAGATTTGGCTTGTTCTGATCTACTTTATGTTTCCTAAAAATACAGTGCTTTGGCATCGCTTCCTTGGTGACTAACGAACAACTTTGAACCAGTTCCTTTGCCCTGTATTCCCACCCTGTATCCCTGCAGCCAAGGCTTCTTAGTCAAGCTCTTGCTAATCTTTCCTGGAATTAACAGCCATTCCCTTGGTCTCCCCCCTCCCCCATTCTTTTGGAATACACAGATAAAATTCTCTTGGAGGAAATTAAAAGGAACTAGTCACATTCTTCAATTATCTACATTATTATTCTACTAAGTGGACTATATCATGGAGTCTGGAAATCTTTTCTATTTATCCTAACATTTATTTAATACATTTATTCATGTACCAAAAAAGTACTCAGGAGCCCAAAGTGGAAGGCCCCTGAAGGTTTTCTTTCCCTGTGACTGTAACTTCTTGCCACCAAGCAAGACAATGGGGAATTTGCTTAGGAACTGTGAATCTCAGGATAATCTTTTCCCGTTCACTTGTCTGTACCTCCACCTACCTCCTCCTGCTCCTAGGACACATAGTCAGCCATTATCAAGTACACTAAGTAATTGTTTTTTCCTACATAATTAAGGCAATAGAATCTGAATACTAGAGAATGTCAGTGCATAAATTATAGTTAAGAAACTTAGAGGTGAAACTGGTCTCCTTTTACTCATGTACAGTCATATGTCACTTAACAACCAGGATCTGTTCTAAGAAATGCATCCTAGGCAGTTTTGTCATTGTGGGAACATCACAGAGTGTACGTATGCAAACCTAGCCTATGGCTCCAAAGCTAGAAACTTGTGCAGCCTGTTACTATGCTGAATACTTAGGAAATTGTAAGAAGATGGTAAGTATTTGCATCTAGGCCGGGTGTGGTGGCTCACGCCTTCGGGAAGCTGAGGCAGGCAGATCACTTCAGGACAGGAATTCAAGACCAGCCAGGCCAACATGGTGAAACCTTGACTCTATTAAGAGTACAAAAATTGCCGGGCGCGGTGGCTCAAGCCTGTAATCCCAGCACTGTGGGAGGCCGAGGCGGGTGGATCACGAGGTCAAGAGATCGAGACCATCCTGGTCAACATGGTGAAACCCCGTCTCTA